AGGGTGCAGCTTTCTTGGGAAGAAGAGACAGTCATCAGAGGTGGTGGTGAAGTCTCTGAGTTTGAGAAGACTCAGAAGTCTTAAATATGAATGTGAATAGTTTTAGACAAAACCTGGAAAATGGCTTTATTCTTATAGTTTCTTTCAGACTTGTACAAACCAATAGCTGTAACAAGTGTTACACAAAATTTCTTATGGGAATAACTGAAACATGAAATAATTTTGTTAGCTAGCCTCTAAGTAAACAAAAACATGTCAGCCATCTTCATTCATTCACTCACTCAATTTTTTACAGCTGTCCTTGGATTAAAATTTGTCTTCAATGTATGATATTAAGATTCAAGATAAATCTTAATACTGACTTGTACTGTAAAGCATTTGACAGATCTACAGGAAAACACTACATTTCCATTTCTCAATCAATGGCCTCTTAATTGATGCCATTTAATAAAAAGATGTCAACTTGTAGTTTTGAAGCATTTATTTTAACTTGATCATTGGGTAGGTGCATATACTGCAAACTACATGTGGTAAAAAGGAAGTTTTAGATTCTTCTATTAAACCAGTATCAATTGCCGTTACAACACCTTCCTATTTTGTCCCCAAAACAGAAGTTAAATTACAACATGAATTGAACTACATTAAAAGATAGTGACCATTAATCCACGTGTCCACTTTTAACCATAATTATATATATTATATAATCATATATATATATATGAATATTCCATATTCATATGGAATACCTGCAAGTACTGTACTATTAATTGATATAAAATACGGCAGTCATTTCTGGGACAAATTTAATGCATATATTCTATTCCACCCTGACAAACAGAGGGAGAAGTGTAAATGTTTTTTATTTGAGAGACAACTGAAGGAGAATTAGCCGAACTACAGAAGACATAAAAGTCAAATAATAACAAAAAGATCCTTTGAGTAAATTGATAAGACAAATATTAAGTCTTCTACATAAGCCCTATCTAAACATACCATAGACAAACTCAGAGAAATCTAAAGGAACAAAATGCAGGAATCTAAAAGCATCTTTAAGAGCAGAATAAGCCAAGCAGATGCACCAGTAGTTTTTTAAAACAGCTGAAAAATGAAATTACCCTACAGCTCACATTATGTCACACATTGCTTCATCTTCTTAAGGAAAACAAATAGCAGAACTCTTAATAAAAAAAGTCTGACACAAGGTCAGACTGAAGTTCTGCTAGTATCAGTTGCTGTAAGTAAGTAATTCCCATCTCTCATGGGCTATTCCACCTGGGGCTTTGTTTTCTGAGCCCATCTGCTTCTTTTCCAGTGAGATTTAGATGGATGCTCGAAGCTGACCTCCCAGAACACTTACATGAACATTTGGATGTGAGAGGCTACTCTAACCATAATGCTGATAGCCACAAAGAGTTGGATGAAGGATGTTTATAATCAAGGCTCATCTTTTTTTTGTTTGCTTGTGAGCAGTTTCTTTCATGTTCTGTTATTGAAGTACATGTGTCAACTGACTTGAGAGGACAGCCTTGTAAATTAGATCTTTGATCTCAAGAGTTTATTTTATCTTTGCAGCAAGGAAAAGTGAATTGAATTGGCTAGCAGAACTAAGCCCTCACTGGTCTACAGCTGCTGCATCTTCTGGGGTCACCATAACTTCCACTTCCATCACTAGATACTCTCTTTTGCTACAGAATTAAAAAAAGGCTTCTCCAACATCTCATCATAACCTGCTGGAAGCTTTACAGCTTCTGGTTTATTTTATGAACCATACAGCCAGACTTTTGCTTCTGTAGTAGGGAGAAAACATTGAGCTATGATACAACAAAGCTCTTTTGAGCTACTCTGGTACTGCATCAGAAAGTAAACTTCAATTGAATATTCACTAACTGTTTTTCGGAGTAAAACACAATTTAGAAAGAATACTGCACGGAAGGCTGCAGAAAAGAATGTTCCAAAATGTTCAAATGAGTATGTGATCCACTGTTAATCTCCCATTACTTATGCTAATGTACAGAGGCATTAGGCACTATTGTGCTGTCTATTACATGTTCACAAAAAGGACTATGGGACATGATACTGATTTATGTCCTAGTTCAGATCAGCAGTATGATAGTGTCATCATATTCTTACCATCTGCACTTCATTCAGTTTCCATGGCTGTGATTCAGGCAGGACAGCTAAGAAAGGGTCTGTAAGAACTCATCTCTCAGAAGGGCATTGAAAAGAAGAGGCAGTAGTTCTCTAGGAGACTCAAAGTACAAAAATATCCACTGGTAATAAAGAACATGGTTTCAATGGAGGATACAAGGAGTTAAAATATTTTTCTTAGTTTAAGGAATTTGACATATTGATGGGAAGAAGTCAGGCCTAACACACATGCTTTCTAATTTTGTGAGCTCGTTACAGAAAGCCAGGATTAATATTGATGAAAAGTTGCAGCACAGCAGGGTAGGCTGAATGAACTCAGCTTGGCTTACTAAACCTTTGTCTTCCTACAGGACCAAATAGGAGTCTACCTTTGGAATTTAAGGAGGATATTCTGCGTCTTTGTTGTACAGTCTCTGGCTTCAAAAAGAAATCTGGTTAATCTGGAATTGCCCTGTCATCAGTAGAAGAGTTGCAGTTACTCAGGAAGGGAAGGAGTTACCCCTAGGAGTTGCATTTCTGGTTCCTCTTCCTAGTCACTAGGCTGAGCCGAGAAAACCCAAAGCAAGATGAATTATCATGTCATAACAAAAGGGTGGTTGTGGGGAGGAGGGCAGTTTCTCAAGCTCCAGTTTTATGCTATTGTTCAGAACAACCTGATCATTTTGCCCAGGAGGCTACTTTAGTGCTGTTGTGAACATAACAGGTTTTCCAGCTAAAAATGCAGTATTTTGTGTGTTATTTTGAGATGCTGTAATTGCCATAGTGATATGCTCTTTGCATTTCTCCTTTAGGTGCTCCAGGGTGAAACCCTCTCCTCTGTGACCACACAAGTGTGCATTTGCTGACTCTCATATCAGGGTTCGGATCACACTTTACAGAAACAGCAGAAACTGGATCTGTAACCACTACCTTGACTGACCTGCCGGACACAAGATTGTCAGGTTCCATTTCTGACTCTGTCACCAGGGAGTTGTCTGTAGAGACCATCTCCCAGTCAATCTTCTGTCAGGCTGCTTTGGATGCAGCTGTTCTTTGATTTACCTTTGAACACGTGCCATAAGGTGTCAATACAACTTTAGGAACGATCTCCAGCAAGGGAGAAGTTTGAGCCCCAGGTCTTGCTAAAGGGAGGGCAATCAGGAGACACATTCCCAGCACCCTTGCTCATTACTGGTACTTTGCTGGGTGTAAATGTTACCCTTTACAGGAGACAATTAAGGATGAAGACCAAATGTTTAAACCTACTGTCCACATTTCTCATAATGGTAAATACAACCTCCTCCCTGCTCTCCTTTGCTGCTCCTTTCCTTTTGAAACGACACCTGTGAGGGCAACCAAGCTCAAATCTGACAAGATGTAATTATTTTAGATAAATTGTCTAACTTTAGACAAAAAAATTATTGCAAAAAATTACATGCCAAGTCAGCTAGCAAAGAAAGAACCAGTATTGTGAGTTTGTTTGGTCTTCAACAGTGCTTTACAGCTCTGCTTCTAGACCAGCTGAACTGCAAAAACATTTCAGATTCAATAGAACAGCTTGAATGGAAACATGCTATTTGTAGCATGATCAATTTTTTAACTGCTGGATATAAAATGGATATTAAAATTATTTAAGTGCTTTAGGTATGTGTTAACTAAAAATCTCGGAAAACAAAACAGTTCTGAATAACTCCACAAAATTAATTTTCCTTCTAGGAGGCCTGAATACTTCCCAGCTCCCAGCCACACTATTCTCCAAGCAGTGTCATGGATTCCACCTAAACCACTGCAAGTCACCAACACAGCACACAGAATCCATCAGATGAGAGTGTGATATATTTTATTAGAAGGACACTGATTTTTAAATGACACTGAAAAGATTTTCAAACTGAATTTCCAAGTTCAAGTTCCCATGAAAGCTGAATGGTCAGAGCTGTAGTAAACAGTATAGGTGAAACCACATAATAACTCTCACATATAAAAAATAACTCATTATTACTTGGCTTCTTTTCATTGGCGTGCAGCACAGATACTCCCATTGAAACAATAACTTCAAAACATTTAAAACACATTAAAACATTTAAAACATTTAAAAACACAGATGTCAAAAATATTAAATATGCACAAAACATTAATATTTAACAATCTAAGAATATTCACAATGTAATTTATTCATCATTTTACAGTATTTATCTCAAATACTGTAAGAGGATCCAAATCTGAAAATATATGTACTTTAAGCTACCATAAGAGTGTAAGAGCATAAAAAATACAGGAAAATATCCACCAACATTTAGCACAACATATATATTGTACCCCAAGAAAGAAAACAAGTGTGTGCCACAGATCATTATTCATCACAAATGGTGATGTGACATCAGAGAGCTGTTGCTGGTGGAACAGCAGCTCTGGTCTTAGTTGGTAAAAACATGCTCAAAGCTTGTGAGTGGGGACACAGTGGTCTGTGAGAAAGCATGTTTAGGTATTTAGCAGTTTAATTTAGTTGGATAAGAAACAATGTAATGTTTTCCTGTTGTTAAACATTGCCATCTGTACCTCTGGCACACAAATTAAAAAAAAAAGGGTGTGACCATTAAAAGTACGTGTCCTGAGATTTCCTTCTTCAGGGGGCAAAGAGGTTAAAATGGAAAAGCTGATCTGTATATAAATCAGGAACACATGTGGTAATGAGAACAAACAGCAGCCAACAGGCAGGCGGGGACAACTTCTCCAGGCAGGCACAAAGTGAGACATACAAAATACCATCTACTGGAAAAGGGAAGGAAGCAACTGATTTTCACTTTGAAATTGGTAAGTTTAACCAATTCTATGAAGTCTTAATGATTACTCAAGGGCTTGCAATTAACTCTGAGTTTTAAAATTTGGTTCACTCAAAAGCTCTCTGTCCAGTAGTGCAGACCAGCATTGCTTTAGCATTAATATTGGTTTCTATTTGTACAAAATCAAGAGGTGATCTTAATATGTGTAACAGGATCTATGTGTTTTGTAACTAATTGAAATAACAAAACAGTTGAGACATAGACTTCCTCTTAAAGTCATGAAATGTTTGTGTCTGCAGCCTACCTACTGGAAGTAGTTACCAGCAGCCTGTCTCCTACTGAGGCTGAAACACTTTTGCTTGATTTCTTCATAAATAAATGGAATATTTAACAAACTAAGTTATAGTTCACTTAAAGCTAAGAAATATATCACAGTTGTGAATAGTAATCCATATTACATACCAGCGGCAGGACCCCACAATATTAAGTCATTTAAAGTAAGTCTTTATCTTCACTTTAAGACTTGTTCCTTGACAGAGGCAGAAAAAATAAAGAGAACATTACGGATCACAAAGCACTGAATTTTCAAGTGTAAAGTCATACCAAAATCTTGATAAATTATCATGGATGTCATAGGTGAGCAGTCGGTCAGGAACGTCACTGTGGGTGCCCTGCACTGCTAACACATGTGGTGCGAGGGCAAAGGGGACGTCGCTCAGGAGGTCTGACATGAAAGGGCTGCTTTCCAAAGTCTGACTCCTTTGATTTCCCATCTCTGTGCTTGATACAGTCAACTGTGACCGGTGCCCTGTATTTATCTAAAGAGAACAGAAGAGCAGAAATTTACACACTACAAATCAGGCAGCTATGGCTTTGTACTTAGAACCACAAGGGCCAATTAATAAAGGGAAACAAAAAAACCCTAAACAAATAAATAAAATCAGTTTCAGAGTTCAGCTTAGGTAGATCTAAAATAGCAGTTCTTAACACATGTTGATATAATTCTTTGGCTCAGCTCAACCAGAATTAAGGCTAAAACAAAAATAAGACTCTTTGTAATGAATACTGAGATCACAGAAACACAGAATATGCTGAGTTAGAAGGGAAATTAGGATTACCGAGTCCAGCTCTTGGCCCTGTACAGAACACCCCAAGACTCACACCATGTGCCTGAGAGTGTTGTCCAAACACTTCTCGAACTCAGACATGCTACCCAACATTACTCTGCATTTATGAAACCCTTAAGGCTCATGGGACTTTTTGTCATTATGTTCAGTCTTGTTTAGGGGAAATTACTTCATACAATTCTTTTCAAAAACTGATGAAGCTCCATCTTTTATTCCCCCTGTGCCTTTCCAGAAGTTGCCCAAGAAAAGCGCGAGTTTTGTGATTAAGGACTGTCCTATCCCTATTATTTCAAAGGATTAATGATGTTGCTTTCCAGTGTGAAATAGAATTGCATATCTGGCTGGTAAGTTCTATTATATAGGGAAATATATGCAATATCAAATATGTCCTTTATAGAAAAACACAGTTAAAACTTAAAAAAAACCACCAACAATCCAAGAACTAAAACCAATAAGAAAATAAAAAGCTTTCCATACAGAAGTAGTCAACACAATTTAGAGAATAATGTTGGACCCAGCAGACTTGCAAGCTTTGATCCTGACCTACCTATATGACCTTACTAAGTGTTTATCCTCACACTTTTGCCATTTTAAGAACAAGGAAAATACTATTTACTCTGCCTCTAGAAATCAAATGTAATTTGTTTTACTATTTATCGCAATAAAATCCTATACAAACTGATACCTCTCATTAGGGTCCCATAACGATGTTCCTGAGAACAGGCTCTGAGCAACCTGGTCTAGTGGAAGATGTCCCTGGCAATGGCAAGGGAGTTGGAACGAGATGAACTTCAAGATTCCTTCCAACCCAAACCACTCAAAGATTCTGTGATCTCTAGGAGCGAGATGTTAGTTATAAGGATTTCTACTTCATAACAGTACACATACAGAAATATTCAGTAACGTGCTCGAAAGTGCTTAACAAGTCATGTCAGAGCAAAGAACACAGACAGGAATTTCTGACTTTGATGAAGTGCTGACTTCTTCCTTTCAACCTCCCATATTCAACATGCAGCCAGAAAATTCCAAAGCTTACACAGCTATGAGGGAGGGAAGAAAGCTTTAAACACTAATTTGGTATTCACCTGATCCTAAGAGTGAAATGGGTCCAGTCATATGGAGGTTGCCTGCATCCATGATTTTTAGGGGTGATGTGCTGCTCAAGATCGGACCTGTGATGAAGTTAAATATCACAGATCATGGCTGCTCCAGAGAACCTGAGGGCACTGCTGTCTGACAGAAGAACAGTTTGGGTGGTGGGGTGGTGGAGGGTGCTTTGTTTTCTTGCCCAGACCATTTAGCCAGCAAAAGGACACTCTGTCTTCTTCCCAAAGAAAGAACTGGCTTTGCCTTGAATGCAGCCTGAGCCCTAGTCATTCTTTACACAACCCAAGATTTCACCTGGGAGGACAGATAAACCAATGCTAAACCTTCTATTAACCTGCCAGCAATGAGTCAACAATGACACAAATAATCTCGCCAGTCTGTGTCACAGCCAGCACTTGTCCTGAGTGGCGGAGGACGTGCACTCCTCCACAGCCTGCTGGGACACAAGGGCTGGTGGTGCTGCATGCTCTGAAAGGGGCCCTCACTTGGAAGCTTTTCACAACGACTGGAAACCTAAGGTTTAAGATAAACTTCCCAAGATCCGTTACTATCATGTCCCAGGATAATAATGCAGAATTTCTGAAGGTTAAGAAGTTTATTAAAAGGAATGACTGATACACATAGGTACTAAGCTTACTGGTTATGATCCAATACACAAGAGGAGCAATATTCTCCATGCTACTATAATACTGGTACGTCTGTTACTACAGAATTCCTACAGCTACAGTTTACAGGTATTTCTTTATTTTCCCTGGCTTTCTTTTTCTCAGTTCTCCATTTTCAGATGCAACAGGAGAGGCAAGAGCTGATAGAGAAGATTTCTTTTGGCTTTCCTTACTGATTCTGGCACCTTTAGAGCACAGGGAAAATAGGAAAGCTAGCAGAGAAGTCAGGAAGATAGCCTGCATGGTTCTCCTATTCCAGCTTTCCAAGCTGTGAGCAAAACCGCATGGACATTTATTTATGTTAGTATTTATCTGAAAGAACACCCTACAACCCTTCAGGTGAGTCCTTAAATTTGTTGCTGCTGTAAACTTAAAAACTTCTCTTAATTTCTACTCTGCATGAACTTATTACATTCCCTCTTGAAAGAACTTGTGGATCATTTATTGAGGTGCTGGTATTTGCCTGTCTTTCATCATTCCCATATTCTGAGGGGAAGCCAGAAAGCCCCAGCTGAAAAACTGGGTTACATCTAGGAATCAATTAAACTAGATCTTCAAAGACCATTCTGCCTCCCTCCCCTCCCTAATTTCAGGGAAAAATGATCCCTCACTCAGTGTCCTATTCCCATCATTCAGATGATAATCAGAAATCCCTAGAATCTAATGTTTATTTTGATTGGCAAATTATACTTTTATGAACACCTGTTTATATCTTAATTGTCCCCCAAGCTGGGTGAACGCAATTTACAATGCAAATTAGAACATCACATGGCAAAACTAACTTCAAAGAGCGAAAAAAGTCAGAGCGAGAGCCGAGCATCTTGGATCTTTTTTCCTCCACAAACCCTACATTTCTTAGAATGGTGCTAAATGTGCAGATTCAGAAATTAAAACTCTTTCTGTAAACAGCAGACACCATGTACTGACAGTGATGGAGCAAGGAGCACCTTTGCTAACTCCCAAATCCCACTCCACAGCTGAAAGCAAGACTGCAGTAAGGAAGGATGAATTATGTCAGAATTATTTTACTGTGAAAGCATCATTTTACCAAACTCAATTTCTGCACACTGTCAGTGATGATATTAATAGTCTTAATAGGCTATGATACTATTTGAATAGTCAAAACAGTATCATGAAGAAAACCCCAAATGGTTTACATAAACATAGTACTGGTAAGTCAGAAACAAAGGGAAGTGTTAGGTGAGTTTAACAAATGCTGATCTTAATTCTTTAATTAATCTGATCTTAATTCTTTGGGTCTCAGTTCACTCAACTCCTCATGAGAAAGTCTTGGGCCTAATATGACAAGATCAGTTCACAACAGAAATGGAAAAGAAGTTTAGATTTTCTATTTCAGTTTCACATTTAATCCACTACTGTCTCTCCCATGAAAACAGTTATTTTTAATTATCTTAAAAAGTTCGCATTTACATTTTCATTTATAACAAGTCACATTTTATATTATTTATCTATGTGAAGAAGAAAAGTTCCTGTCCTGAAGAACTCAGGTAACAAGAAGCAATTTTTCAGTTCTGCCTAGAGCAGTCATCACTGGCAGTTGTTCCCTTTGCTATGCAGAGCTGTTTCTGAGCATTCCTGTAGTGATAATTAGATGTTGGCCTCCTGTGCAAGACCCTATCAAACTAGACATGTTTCTGTCCGTCCAAAACATGAAGATATCCTTTAAATGGGCTAAGATGTATTTCATTCATATGCTGGAGAACCCACACGAGTGAAAAGGCCCTGCTGAAGCCAACCTCCCCAGCAGGCTTTCAGGTAATGTGATGAAGAACAGGACATTCTGGTAGAGAACATCAGTCACCCATCAGTGCCGAGGTCGCCCGCACTGCTTCCAGTGCAAACACCAGCACAAAATGATGTGATGCAACCGAGGTCAAGGTTATGAAATGGTTTGTGCTTTATGCATGCATTCTTCAAGCATATATAGAACTGCAAGTCCGAGAGAATTTGATATTGCACATTAGTCACACTGGTTTCTACTTAAATGCCTAACTTACTTAGCCAGAATACAATCCATGCAGAGCATATTATCTGGACATTAGCTAAATTAAGCACTGCCAAATGCTATGACACACAATCCAGTTATGAGAAATATTAATTGAACGGACCGAGAAGATCACTGATTTACATTTCACCATACGCCAAGGAGTCAAAAAATTAGTAAAAATTACATAAGGTATGGCAATAAAATTTAATTCAAATAAGCAAGGTGTCCTCTGTATTCTTGGTTTGCAATCCAAAAGAGCAGGGAGAAAAGAAACACTATGTAAATATATATAGTATATATATAGTAGCTGGCCACCAGACACTAATTGTGCTCTGAAAACAATATGTTATTTTGAAACTAACAAAATATAAAACTACCCTCTGAAGTAAATTATTCCTTTTCTTCTCTTTGTTAAAAGATGTTTCTCAGCTGTTTTTAAAAACATCTAATTTGCTGCATGTCTTTGTATTAACCATAAAGTTTGCCAAGAGTCTCATAAGGAAGAAAAAATGCACATTTTACAATGTACTGAGAAACTGGTTTTACAGTGCTCTGAAGGAGAATCAAAGATTAGTGCCAGCATTATTATAATCCAAACCCTTGAAGGTTTTCTATCAAAAGTGTTTAATTTTTAAAAAGTTACACTGTCCATAAAGTGTAACTTTTTTAAAAAAAAGTTAAAACAAAAGTTTTTGTTTAAAAAAAAAGTTTTTTTTCCAGAAACAGACCTATCTTTCTTTTAAAAACAGCCTTGAGAAACAAACAGTACTTTCAGTCTTCCAGAATATTTAGTAAATATCGAGTAATATAATACTTATGACAGACATCTGCTATGTGACTGCTGGTAAAGAATTATCTTTATTTCAGGCAACTTCATGGTATTACAGGAAATAGTGAATCATAATTTATTT